TACTATTCATTATTTTTTACAATTGTGTAAGCATGGTAATTAGTTTCAGTAAGTTCTTTACCTATAGAGTCCCATGAGAATTACTGTCATCATACAACCCAGCAATGGATGTAAAAGACCTGAAAATGGTGTTGTTTAATAGCACTCAGGGGTGTAGCCTTTCCCAGGAAAAGGTGTGTTACCATGTGTTAACTATAACATGATCATGTTACAACATGAGATTTGGGTGGGGGGAAAGTGTTAGAAGATGAAGATGGTTGTGATATTGTCTCAGTAGTTGGAGGGTAATTCCTAGATGTATTTGCTTTGTCTTAGTGAAAGACCAAGGCAGTTAATTATGCTAATTGTTTTACCTCCGGTTAATTACCACTTCTTAGCTGACATGAGGCAAAAACATACTTTTTTATTTTAGTGAAGATGGAAGTGCTGAGACTTACAGTTTTTTTTAAAGCTAAATAGGAAGAAAATCTGCAATAGGTTTAAAAATATATGTGCACAATAACACCAAATGTAAGTGTTCATATATTGTATTAGGCTTTTATTTTCATTGTACTGTTAAAGAAAAGAGGGGAAATAATACTAATTTCTCTCAGAAGCATATAGCTAGGAGGTTGTCTATACTACTTAGAGGCATCTTAAACCTTAAGTGGTTTACCAATGCATATTAAATTAAAACTAACTGCACCTTCCTCTGTGTAATTTCTGTGCAATTGCTATAGCTTCATCCCTCTTAGCATAGCTATCCTTAGCAGATCTTTTATATGTCCTGACAAAAGCATTGTTTCTTCTATCACTGAAGCCAGCTTTGTTCACCCACGTACCAAGATCTTTCACAAATATCTCTGTGAATATCTACTCTCAACAGCTGTATTTACTTGAATCCAAGATGAGATTCCCCCCCCCCCATTTCACATGGGAGCTAGTCTTAGATTTGAATACAAGTGGCAGGGGGCAGGCAGCTGATGCAGCTCTGACTCCAACCCGGGGCTGTAGTCAGAGCCGCAGTAGTCACATGCCTGCCTCTCCTCTCTGAGCCAGGGCTGGAGCTGCCCCACCACTGTCCTACAGCCAGGTGAAGGCCAGAGCAACCATGTGCTCTGTGTCCTGGGCCAGAAGGACGCTGGAGCAGTGGGTGGGTAAGCACTGAAAGGGGGGCCATACTTATTTGCTTGTGTCTGTATGTAACCCAGCCCTTCATGATGACTCCTTGAATCTACTGCAGTACCCATTTTTATTTTTATTAATAAGTCTACATGCAAAAGAGACAAGCTCCAGAGATCTAAGGCTTGCTATAATTTTCCAGGCTTTCTTCCTCTGCTAAATCAACCGGGGCAGTCTGGCCTGAATGTTTGGGTAGATGCATCACTAATATAACTAAAACCTGTTGAACTTGTGTTCTGCTAACTTTCCCTTACCATTTGCTTGAGACTGAAAGGAAACCTTCCATGCTCATATTTTTCTGAGAAATACGCAAATGATAAAGGTGGACTAAAAAGAAAATGAGAACTTGACATTTTGGCTGTGGTGGGTGAGATATTGTAGAGAGATTTTATTTTATAGAACTATAGAAAATAGTAGTTTTTGTTTTTTAAAATCCCATCGTTCTGCTCATAAACATCCGTGGAAGCTTCTTGCTGAAACATGCTTCATTAGAGGAAAATGTTTTTCTGTTGCTCTCATACAAAGCTCTGCTGCTGGTGAGTTGATGGCCTTCTGCTTTAACTTAACCCCTGTAACAATTTTTGTTTGATGTTGAAAATATAGAAGGAATACGTTTTTAATTTTGCAGTTGTAAGAAAAACTCATCTGAGGTTGCTGCCCCAGAAGTGACAGACACCTCTGCACCTGACTCTCAGATAGTGTATTCCTCCTTCCAGGCCCCATTGCACTCCCAGAGCAGTAGTATGTGTAAACATGAATCAAGTGAACAAGTATGGTTCCACAAAAGTCTAGGCAGTAATGCAGAGTTTTGCAGTTGCTCATGCCTTTTCTTTGACATTCATTGTCTGTATGTTTGAAATAATGATTGCAGCACTTGGACATGCCAGAAACGCCTGGTGTTCCCATTAAAAAGCCTGGTTTTGAGGGGTCTATAATTCAGCTGTTTTAATTTGTAGAAGGCTGAAACTTGGCAGATAGTGAGCCAATTTCAGAATCCAGATTGCAGGCTCTAAATCTAACAGAGATGGCAGGAGATGCCTTTTCCTAGCAATAATATACATTCCCCGATTCTTTGAATTACAGCTTTGCCATGTTTGAGACTTCCCTGCTGGTGATGCAGTGTCTTCTAGACGGGCACTGAGGTTGCTTTACCTACTCAGTCCAAAGGTTTCATAAAAGAAGCCAACTTTAAGCATGTGCCATAAAGACCTAAATTCTCAGCATGAAATGATTAGCAGGAGAATTGATTCTAATTTATACGTACCAGAGTTTGGGGAAACAAGTCAGGGAACAATTATCGAGTGCCGTCCAACTCATTTAGTTTGCTTAATTTTTGGCTGAGTCAAATTGTACACATTAGTCACATTAATATCTCTGGAAGTTGTCTATGCCTTCTCGGGGCAATAGTATTGCTTTTAGTTAATCCTGGTGTCATGCTAGACTGTGTGGAGCAAAGCAAACTATTCACTATTGCACACGCAACTAAGATCTTGGCAAAGGTGCATGAAAGAGATCAGGTAAAAAAAAAAAAGAAAAAGGCTTTTGTAGCCAATCTAGGAGACTGTCAAATAAAATAAATGCAGATAAAATAACAATTAATTTCCTTGGAGTCTGTCTGGCAGTCCTGACCTAGGCTAAATTGCCTGGAAGTGTGTGTTTGGGGGTTTTTTTACATATATAAAATCCTGTATTTCCTCAAATACAGGATGAGATCCTTTTCCCCAGTTAGCGTAGGGAGGCAGACAGCCCCTCATCCATATACCAGGAAACCACATTAAATACATTGTCTGTCTTTGAACTGCTGCTAAAAGCAGCATGTGCTCAAGAATGGTAACCACCTATGAAGCTGATTAGATGCAGCCAATACTGAGTATGACTATAAAACACATGGCCCATACTGGGCAAACATACTCTTGGGATATTTTTTGTTTTTGTTTTTTTGGCCCTAAAAAATGGGCAGGTGTTCTCTCCACAGGGAACTGGCACCAGGCCTGGAGGTACTGTAATACCAGGAGGGCCAGAGCCAGGCCTGACACCATCCCCTTGGTACCAAAAATGTTTGATCTAAGCCAAATGGCTGAGATGCTGATGGGAGCCTACCATAAGTATAGTTTAGTGCAGCCCATCTGAATAGAATATATGGTAATGCCCGTTAGGCACAGTCTCTCCTCAGCACCAACTCTGTTTTTCAAGTCATGGTGAGTGGTGAGCCACTACATTGAATACATTTCAAATTCCTCTCAACTCCTGCAGCTGAGCTGCACCTTTTTCTCATTTACAATGATTCCTGTTTCTTCACCAGTCTTAAATGTCTGGTGAACATCATCAAATGGGGTCCCAAAGAGTTCACCCAGAATCCTGAGCAGTATTGAGCCGTAGGGTCGCCATGACTTGAAATGCTGTTGACTCTACTGGTGCCCAGCCCAATGAACTATATCATAAATTGAGAGCCTTTTGGCCTATGAGTTGCACTATCATGCATACTCTGTACTGCATATAAGTAGGTACAAAGTGCTGCTTAAAAGTGCTTGTGGAGTACCTGTGCTAAAACTTGTAGCAGTTGCAAAAAAAAAAAATGCATCAATTCCATATGAACAGTCTATGGGCACTATATGTAAGTTATGACATGTATGCTTATTTCAAGATCAGTGCTTTCAAATGTGGTTATATCTGTGTATATCTGTGTGTTCAAGGAGAGCAGGGTCTGACCATAAGTAGAAAGGAAAGGGGCTGCAAGGGGAAGAAGATGCAGGGCAGAGGGCAAGGCAGCAACCTGACCCCCCAGATTTATTTTCTCTGCAGTAGCAGTGGAAGGGGGACAAATGCAAGCCAAACCTCCAATAATTAGTTTCTGTACCTAGAAAATTTATGAGAGAGAGATAAATTTTCCATGTACA